AAGGACCATGAAAAAGCTCTGTTTTTCCCATGCAAGGCAGCAGAGCTGGTGAATGATTATGGAAAAGGCTGGAGTTTGAAGTACCGAGCCATGAGCCAGTTCTACATGGCTGTAGCCTATCGGAAGCTGGGGCGCTTGCCAGATGCCATGGAATGCTGTGAGGTGTGTGTGGGGGAATCTGCTGGGTAAAATTAAAGGGCTCTCCGCTTTGGGAGGGTATGTCAGTTGCATCACTTTCTGAAGAAGGCAGATTTGACCATTCTGAGTCATACTTTAATCACTTTTGTGATTATTGCAGCAAACTGATTAGTTCTTGGTGTGTTTTGTTGGCCATACTACAGCCATCTTGCAGCAACTGCCAATTCAAGTTGTTTTTGGTTATGAAGCCCCAGTATGGGGCAAAAAAGTTGAAAGCCATCTTTATAAGTATCAGTACACGCCACTATTTTTATAAGAACACAGATTCTTTCCTTTGGTGAAAGAAAGTGGCTTTTGAATTGCAAAGGAACCCAATAAAACTCCAAAGCAATGGCAAAGTATTTTTGACTGTTTGAGGAAGATCCAAATTGCATAACCTACCTCTTCCTTCAATCATTTATTTTGTTGAAAGAATTTGGAAGAAGGGATGCTGTCTTTAATGTGGGTTGCAAACGGGACAAGACACCCCTTTTCCTTCACTCAGACGCCCGTTTCTTAGAATAGTCACAATTTAGAACTTAGTATGTGATAAAAGTTCAAATTGTGATTCTGAAAGCTTGTCTTACTAGGAGTCAATGAAGATTGCCCTTCAGCATGGAGATCGTCCTTTGCAAGCACAGTGCCTGCTTTGCTTTGCTGATATCCATCGCAGCCGTGCAGATGTACAGGTATGACCCTCTCCTATGAAACAGGCTGTCTGAGGGCAGTAGTGGACAGCGACTGACAACCTTTTCTTACAACCCAGACAGCTTTTCCCCGCTATGATTCCTCCATGAGCATCATGACTGAGATTGGAAACCGTCTGGGACAAGTTCAGGTGCTACTTGGTGTAGCCAAGTGCTGGCTGATTCAAAAGGACCTCGACAAGGTCAGTAATAGGCTGTAGTAAGAAACTGATTAGATACAGTTGCATTGTTATGAACCAACAAAATGGGCTCTAAAATGCATGATGTTTTTTTCTATGGACAGTCTTTCTGTCCACATAGTAACATCCATACTGAGGAAACGAGTATTCAGCATGTATTTTAGGCTAAAACTGTTTATCTAATGTACCTTTTAATCTGCAAGATGAATACACTAGGTGTGTGACAGTTATGTCTAAGCAATTAAATACATGGAGTAGTGCTGGGATTACCTTAACAAATAGGATTCACTCATTGTAGTTGAGCATCTAGAAATGATCAACTGAAAATTGTTTCTCCATAAGATACGCTGTTTTCCTTCTGACATTGCAGAAGACACTAAAAACCATTGCTTATAAGTAGGCTTTAGACCCAGAATTAGAACCTGTGGGCTACCCAGCTAGTTTTATGGCTATAGTTGTTTTAATATGGATGAAGAACATTATTAACCTTTATTAGGTTAATTAACTATGGTTTGTATACTGCCCAGAGTCTACTAATAGAATATATATAAATATAAACAATTATGTATAATTTGGGTATCATGAAATCTCGACTCTTGGCAATTTCATAAACATAGGCAGTTTTCTTGGAAATATTGTGGAAATGGTTTGACATTTCTTCTTCTGGGGTGTTTTTCAAATTCCTAGGGCTGACTCTCAGGTCTAGGGCTGAGAGTGACTGACACTAAATGACCCATCTGGCCTCTATTCCTGTGAGACGATGAGAACTCGCTGTCTCCCTGCTCTTAGTCCAGTGTCTTAAATTACTACAGCAAGCTGATTTGTGTGTGTTTGTGTATGTGTATATGTGTGTGTGTGTGTGTTGTGTATATATATATATATATATGTATGTATTTTTATAGAGTATATACACAAATAGTTTTGAATATGCATAGTATGCAGCTATTATAAAATAAAGGGAGTAAATGTTTCCTAGTATTATCTAGACTTCCAGGGATTAGGTTAATGCAGTTTTCCCTATCTTGGCACCCTCAGGTACATATCATAGATTCAAGCAACAAGGTCTTCAGAACCACCACGTATTTCAAGACATCATCTTGCATACCTTGGCACCTCATCCCCCTCACTTATAAACACTTCATGGCATGGGGCCTGATTACTTGATGGACTATAGTTTTTGCCTGTCCTATACAATTGGACTGACAATCCAAATTCCTTTGGTTAAACAATGTCGTCTATCAGGACCCAGGAAGCATGCCTTTTTTGTTGTAGCACTTTACTCTTAAATAGCATCCCTCCTTAGACCTTAGACGGCTCCTGCCCTGATGATGCCCTAGGATTTCATGTGTCTGGGTTTTTCCCCGGAATGCACATGACTTCTATTCATACTGTTTTATTGTTGTATTATCTTTTAACGTTGTAAGCTGCCCTAAGTCTTACGGAGTTGACTCAAATATATATATGTTCTGCTTTCTATAGGCATTAGAAAATATCGACAGGGCTCATGAGCTGGCAGAGGGATTAGGAAACAAAGTAAGTTCTCATCTCCATTTTTTTTACTCTATTCATGTTCTTTGTAATGTGTGCGAATGTATGTATGTCATAATTCTGCCTGATAACAGACCTCCAAGGTTTTGAAAATGGACCTACGTGCCCAAATATTATGTTGAATCATTAATAACCCATTAATATCATGAGGGAGGGGTAAACAGTGATGGCCCATATTTGTGTTCCAATTCTTTAGACCATGGGTCGGCAACCTGCAGCTTCGGAGCCGTATGCGGCTCTTTGAGCCATCTCCTGTGGCTCCGGAGCCTCCTCCGCCATTTGCAGAGAGAGAGACAGACAGGGAGGCACTTGTGCTTCCCTTCTCTCTCTCTCTCTCTCTCTCTCTCATGCGAACTTGCCCCCTCACGGGGCTCCTGATTGGCCCTGCGCCCGGGTGCCCCACCCCCTGGGAGAAGGGCTCAGGAAGTCCCTTTCCCGGGCTGGTCCCGTTCGAGGCGCACGTGGCCAGGGAGCCGCGTGGGGAAGCCCCGGGATCCTTGCTGGGAGCGGCCTACCAGAGCCTCCACTGAGCAGGCCAGCCCTCCCACAAGCCGCAGCCCCAAGGGAGAGCAGCCCCTGAGATCCCCAGCCGGTGCGACCATTGGCCAAGCAGCAGCAGAGCCAGAAATGGAGGGTCAGGGGTGGGGGGAGGGAGGAGGCTCTGAATCTGCAGATCGCCGTTGCGAAGTGGCCACGGGGTGCGCACCCCCCAGCTTACTTGTACCAGGCAGAGGGGCTGGCAGGGGCCGGTCAGGCAAAGCAGCCACAGCATCGCAGCCAGTGCCAGCAGGCCACGTGGCACCAGCCCCCCCAGCAGCCCGCCCTGGCTACATCTCATGGGTGGAGGGCGAGCCCGGGCAGCGCGGAGTCCCGGCTGGGACGGCGGCGGCTTCCTCGCCCTCCTCCTCTCCTTCCTCCTGCCGCCCCCCAGGCGGCAGTCCCGGCTGGGGCGGCGGCGGCTTTCTTGCCCTCCTCCTCCCCTTCTTCCTCCTGCCGTCCTCTGGGTGGCAGTCCCAGCTGGGCCAGTGGCCGGCGGGGGCATCAGCATCCCCAGGTTGCTCCCTGGGCAGCCGAGCCGGCCACGCGTCTCCCCAGGACGGTCCAGGCGGCTGGGCCGGTGGCTTCCTCACCCTCCTCCTCCCCTTCTTCCTGCTGCCCCCCAGGCAGCTGTCCCAGTTGGGGCGGCGGTGGCTTCCTCGCCCTCCTCCTCCTCTTCTTCCTCCTGCCGCCCCCTGGGTGGCAGTCCCAACTGGGCCACCGGCCGGCAGGGGCATCGGCAGGGGCCGCTCCCTGGGCAGCCAAGCTGGCCATGCGTCTCCCCGGGCCAGTCTGGGCGGCAGTCCCGGCTGGGGCAGGGGCGGCTTCCTCACCCTCCTCCTCCTCCTTCTTCCTCCTGCTTCCCCCCCCCCCCGGTTACCGCCCTCCCTGCAAGGTAGGCAAAACCACCCCTGGCCGCGATGATGTCGCCGGGAGCAGAGCCGTCCGTACCAGAGCTGGATGGGGGCATGTCTCGCCTTAGGCTCCACTCTTCAATCAAGTGCCCTGCTCCCCACAGCGCATTTTGCAGCTCCCAGTTTTTTCTTTTGTGAGGGAAACGGGTCCAAGTGGCTCTTTCACTGTTTCAGGTTGCCGACCCCTGCTTTAAACGTTGTTGATGAGGTTCTGTCACTCATCAGAAAAATAGCTCTCCTGTGGGGGTTACACAGCAGAGTGGAAACCTAGCATCAGATGTTTTGATTCTGGGGTAATGGGGCATCTCCTAAAGTGGAATATGTGCAGCTCCTGACTTTTCTGAGTGGTACGGTATTTAATTATGCTTTGGAAAGATGATGTTAGAAAAGACCATATCTTAACCCAAAGATCCTGAAACATTTTGAACCTGTGTTTTGGGGGTATCAGGGATAGCCACACAAAATTTCTTGCCCTGAGAAATCCAAGCCTTAAACATTCTATGTTGCTAGCATTATTCACACGAAATTCTTCAGAAGGGGGCATTTTGCAGGGTATACAATTATGTAACTATGAAAAAAGAAGCGATTGCTGAATGTATAAGATAAAATGGTAAGCAAAGAGTGAAATCATCCATTTCCCCCCAAAGTGCTATAGAGCAGTACAAATAGGAATGGTAAGAAACACAATTTGGGAAGAGGAGACAACAGATGGCCAAAGAAAAGAAGGATCTGTCTGACAGTTGGTGAGCTTCTGCTAAGTAAAATAAAAAGAAACAGAAGGGATGGAAAAGAACATCACATTTCAAAAGCTTAAAAGATGCCATGTTTTGGATAATCAGGAACTAGGAATGTGTTGGGCCCATAGATTGCCTCCTTTGTAATATTCTTTTCATGTGATTATTTTTCTCTGTCTTCTCTTTTATGCAGCTCTGCCTGCTGAAAGTTCATTGCCTATGTGAAGGGATCTATCGCACAAAGGGTCAGCAGAGGGAACTTCGTAATCATGTGGTGAAGTTCCATGAATGCGTTGAAGAAATGGAACTCTACTGTGGCATGTGTGGTGAATCCATTGGTGACAGAAACCACCAGCTCCAGGCATTGCCCTGCTCCCATGTCTTCCATTTAAAGTAAGGGGCAAAAAGGATGAACGCAAACCATGGTGGAATAAAAAAAAACCAAAATCCTAAAGACAAAAAAGGGGAGGTAATTCCTCCGGAATGAATGAAACAAGGACGTTCTGTATTGGCATTCATGATTTTAAAAATGCTTTCTACCACTCCATTGAAACAACTCCTTATCTCTAAAGTTTTTATCCTTGAGGCTGGGATACTTTTCCCAAAATTGATTTTTAATCTGCTACTTAGATTTTTTTTCTCAAGAATACATCATTTTATCAACGTCTTAGCTGGCTTCTTATATCCTTACAATCCAATTTTAATGAGTTCTGACTTAGGCATAATATCTGTGTACTTAGAAGTAAATTTTAGCATGCTGAATCAGGGAACAAGCTTGAGAGTCAAATTCACAAAAACTCATGACCCATGGAGCCAAACACAGTTATCAGCTGTGGCTTAACAACTTGCCAGCAGCCCTGTTTACACGGTCTACCCTAAAATAGAAAAATCAGGTATATATTAAGCATGCAGCAGAATGTTCTAACTTGGTTAGAAGCTGAATTTAATTAGACATCACAAGTTGTCCAGTCCTGTGCTACGCAATGTGATTGAATGTGTATTGCGATTATTCCCTTTTTTTTCCTGGTGCTTTCTCATTCAGTCCTCTCTGCATTAGAAAGCTGAGAGCTAGAAAAAACAACAACTTAGAATTGCAAAGATGTTAACAAATGTGGTTTTCATTTAAAATATGCATTTGACATAATATTCAGCCAAAACTAATACTATTACATATACAAAACATGTATGTACCATGTTAAAATATTTATCAAATTTATATAACTGCCTCACAAGAAGTGTTATCCTACAATAAAGATATAAAACTATAATAAAATATAATTATTAAAAAGTATTGCACACATGAGATTAGTTTAATCTCAAAAACTCACTGGATCCATGAAATGCACACATATACACTTTGGAGGTCTTCTAGTCTACCCCTTGCTCAAGCAGGAAAGCCTATACCATTGGGAAGGAGCTGTGGTGGCACAGTGGTTAGAATGCAGTATTGCAGGTTAATTCTGCTGACTGCCAGCAGTTCGATTGTCACCAGCTCAAAGTTGACTCAACCTTCCATCCTTCCAAGGTCAGTAAAATGAGGACTCAGATTGTTGGGGGCAATTCTCTGTAAACCACATAGAGAGGGCTGTAAAGTACTGTGAAGCAGTATATAAGCTTTATTGCTATTGCAAACAAATGGTTATCCAGTCTCTTCTTTAAAACCTCCCATGTTGGAGCACCCACAACTTCTGGAGGCAAGTTGTTCCACTGATTAATTGTTCTAATGTCTTTAGTTCCAAGTTGTTTCTCTCCTTGATTAGTTTCCATCCATTGCTTCTTGTCCTGCCTTCAGGTGCTTTGGAGAATAGATTGATCCCCTCTTTTTTGTGGCAGCCCCTTAGATATTGCTATTGTGGCACCCTTAGTTCTTCTTTTCATTAAACTAGGTATACCCAATTCCTGCTGCTGTTCTTCATATGTTTTAGCCTTTAGTCCCCATATCATCTTTGTTGCTCTTCTTTGCATTCTTTCTAGAGTCTCAATATCTTTTTTATATCGTGGTGACCAAAACTGGATGCAATATTTCAAATGTGGTCTTACCAAGGCATTATAAAGTGGTATTAACAGCATAACATACCATGCAGGGCTGCTGTTATGATAAAATAGGGGAGACTTGCCATGTACACTACCATCAATTCTTAAGAAAATGCAACATCTCAATGTAATACTATTATTATTACAACATCCTTTCTATGGTTGCATGCACTCAACTGATAGAATAACCTCATTCCTCAGGAAGACCAAAACACACATACTCATTTTCACTGGCACACGCTCTTTGTAGAAAATGAAGTTAACCTGCTACCCACTTTTGCTATTCAACTTGCTACATACATGATGCAAATAAGGCAAAAAAATATAGAAATGCTGCAGATAGAACACAAATGTTTCATTTGCCCACCTCCACCCCATAAGCCTCATGAACAAAGCAAGACAATTAGTATCTTGTCTGGTAATAGTGATGTAACAGAAGTCAATCAGAGCTAGGTCCTCATTAAGAAACAGATTTTAAAATACTAGTGGAAAGAGCAATTAATTTGAGTGGAAATAAATGTTTTCAAGCCTTGAATAATTCAATCCCATTATTAATGAGTGAATTGATAGGAAAAATATTTTATTATTGCTGTTAATGAAAGTGGTAATTAGGCAGACAAGAAAGAATACTGAAGTTCAGTACATAGTTGCACCTAGGGTACCTATTATAACACTACTAGAACAAGGGAAGGTCTTGAGTTATGATCAGCTGACTTTGTGCCCTTTAATTGAATTTATAGTGAGAGTTCCTAGTTTTCATCTGGTTATTATTTGTAAGAGGTGGGGGAGGGGAGAACTATACGTAGCTTTATTTGTTCATACTTTGGTAGCTTCTCACCTACATTACTATTATAGTCACATGGTAGATGTCCACATGTTCTCTTTCTGTCCCTTCATCTTAATCCAGAACAGTGTCATTCAGGTTGTTCTGCACCTTCCAGACTATTCTCATATCTCATTATAGCTCAGGGTTCTTTGCTGGTTCCCCATTTGAGCCAGAGCCCAGTTTAATCGGTGGTCTTTCTGTTTGGAATTCTTGGGTGGCAAGCCTGCCAGTATTAGTCTTTCATTACTTCTCTTGACAGTCCTGCTTGCTCCAGATGTTCTTCTGAACAAGGTCTCCCTCCAGAGTTATGGTGTCCAGATTCCAATTTTCAGGGGCCTAGCCTTGCAAACTTTCAGATCAGCTCCCTCCTCTTCATGAAAGTTTGATGGCTTTTAGATGTTTTAAAAACTTTTTTTATTTGAGTAGTTAGTTAGCATAGAGCCTGGTCATCTCACCCTATCTCCTTAGCTTTTGAGATTCCTATTGTAAGTTAATACTTGTTTTAATTTAATTATAGATTTATATATACCCAACACTATTGAAGGGTACTGTTTGAAATATGTATGGTGGGTAGTTTTCATTGATAATCTTTATTTAATGGTTTGACTTTAAAGTTATAGACTAATTTCATTGGATGGACTTTTTAAATTACGGTAGGTTTTAATTTGTACTGTGCACAATAAATATTGTTAAGAATTGATAACTTTTGTTACCCCCTCCCCCCAACTGAAATAAATATGTAGAATCATAAAAGCAAAATATAAATAGATTCGGAATCAACCTCTGGATTGAAAGAATTGCTTCAAACGAATTGTCTAAAATTAATGGCAAGAAATAATCTGTTGAGATTTAACTCGGCTGCATCATGAGAAGTGATGCACATTGGCAGATCAAATAGGTGAAGAAGCATTATGTTTAATAAGTATGCACGAGATCTAGAAAAGTGTTGATGTATTTATCCTGTTTTCTCTTCAAACAGAACATTCAATCTGAAGAGAGAAACTTGGACAGCCTTTTGTAAACAAAGAGCTGTCATGGCCTACATTACAAGGAAAATAGCAAATGAACTCATGGATAAGTGTTTTTGGCAGCCAATGTCTGACAGTGAGGTTAACTTTAGAGTGCACTAAGTAGCATGGCAAATATTCCGAAACAAAAATACTTCTGTGAACATGTTGCACTGGCCATGGCAAATAGTGAATGAGCATTTATTGTTGCAAAGTTGTTTAGACTTCTTCAATAAAGAAAACAGGATCTGCAATACTTCTGGAAAATAGCAAAATGAAACAAGTAACTGCTATCTTTAAAATAAAAGTTAGATATTCTAAGAACAATGTCCACTGCTTAACATGTTAATCATTGCCTATTGAGAAAAATGAAGGAAAGAAGATTAGCACCATGTGAAAGATCTAGTTCAGGGATAAGGAATCTTCAGCTCATTCTTGTACATGGCCCCAAAGAGGTCCTGCCTTATAAGAAGAGAAAGTTATCAACCACCACTCTCTGCCTATCTGCATAATTTCATGTTAGTAATCTAGACCACAGGTTCCCAACCTGTGGACCACTAGTGGGCTGTGAGGGGTTTGCAACTGGCCGCCGAAACAATCAGTGAGCGCACATGCATGTTTATTTGTGTGAGCAGCAGGCGAGTGCATGTGCTCCATTTGCATGAGTGCCAAACGGTATGCATGCTACTCGCGCAAATGGAGCTACGCACACGTGCTTGCCAGCCACTTGCACAAACCATCCCCCCCCCCCCCCCAGTCCACAAAGCCGGAAATGTTTTTCTACGCCATGGCAACCAAACTAGTCACCAGTGCCATATTTCAACTTTCCCTACAGAAGAAATGTGCAGATGTTTTCTGCTTGTAATGCTTTGCAAACTGCAACCCACCCTTTCCCCTGGGGTCAGAGGAAACCATTACAGGTACAAATAAAAAGTAGTGGTTCTTTTTTCTTTTCCTTCTCTTTCTCTGCAGAGAAAAATGACTGCCTTGAAGGATTTTTTTGATCAGGCTCACTATTGTGAGTCTCACAAAACGGGACGTTGTAGAAATATGGTAAAATAAATAATAAATTAATCAGGGATGGGGACATTGGCAAAGGGGAGGAGGCTATTTTCCCTTAAGACCCACTCATTGATATATAGCCTGTAGAGATGTCCTGGAGTGCAATTGAACCCCATAAAAGTCAGATTATGTTTCCATTCTAGTTTGGCTGGTATACTGTTCCAGTGTGTTAATCAGATCGTTTTATGTGGTGAGAAAATGTAATGCAAGAAGAAAATAAATTGGATCCAATGTGCTTTGTACTAGGTCTCTTTAAAATCAGAACAAATTATTTATAATTCTAGTCCTATTGCAATCAGAGACTAACATTCATCAAATTTTATTCTGCATTGCAACAAGTCATGTTGCTAAGCACAGAGAGCTGGGTTATCCTCAAGTAGCTTGTGAATATATAGTATAGTGCAGGGGTAGGCAACCTTGGCTCTTTTATGACTCGTGGACTTCAACTCCCAGAATTCCTGAGCCAGCCATGCTGAGGGGAAAGGGAGAGGTTTCCAAGCTGAGCCATGCTGGCTCAGGAATTCTGGGAGTTGAAGTCCACGAGTCATAAAAGAGCCAAGGTTGCCTACCCCTGGTATAGTGGATGGTGGAAGAAAGGAAAGAAGGATTCATTATTGCTGATATAACTATTAATTTTAAAAAATATAAGTACCTAAATATCTTTAAGAGACCAAATGTGATAGCAATACTTATATGTTATCCTCAAAGCACAAAAAAGCAGCAGTTAAAATGATGTTCGTATTATTGGTTCCCTTCTTGAAGTAATCGTTGCGAAAATTGAAATGCTTCTCAATGAAGGTGTTTATTCTTCAAATAATTTTAAATGAGTGAAATTCCAATTAAATTATTGTTTCAATTATCATTGTTTATGTTAAGCATGTCTTAATTATATTTGTTTATGTTGCATTTCCTTATAGGAACAGAAAGGTAAGATAGCCTTAAATACTGATATTAAGGAATATGTTACAGTATTTAAAACAATCACTTCAATGAAAAATGCAGGAAATCATAGCAGAAAAAAATCATGACCTTCTCCATCAGAATTTGGAATATAAAATTGAGTATTACTCAGACTCCTGCCTAAGATATCCCCTACTGTCTTTTCCCACTGCAGGTGCCTGCAGACTAACGGAACACGAGGTTGCCCCAACTGCCGGCGTTCATCAGTTAAACCAGGGTTTGTGTGATCTGCTGATGAATTGATGACTTAAGAAAATTCATCCATTAGGTGTGAAAAGACAGAGCACTGGAGCAGTTCTGTTACAGGATCTAGAGATGAAACCCATCATATAGATACAAAATCTCCTGCAGAATTGATGGGAAAATGCACACCTAGATCTTTGTCATCTCCTTTCACACATCTGAGTTGTGAACCTCTTCCAGGAATTCTGTATCATCTCCTCTTTCAAAGCCAGCTGCTAGAATAAGCCACCTTTGCTCCTTCAACAACTTGTTGGCTTGATCTTCCACAATCTCAATTTGATTTTAATTTTAATTTTCTGCTTGTTTTGCTAGCTTCCTTCAGGGCCAACTCTGACACTCATACTTCACTTCAGAAGTTGTGGGAGCTTCATCACTGGAAGCTTTTAAGAAGAGATTGGATTGCCATCTGTCAGAAATGGTGTAGGGTCTCCTACTTGGGCGGAGGGTTGGACTAGATGGCCTACAAGGTCCCTTCCAACTATTCTATTTTACTCTATTTCTATTCTATTCATTCCTCATGGGAAGCATACTGATCCTGCCTACATAATGCTTCTTGAACTGGCACAATATTACTTTCTTGTAGGCATGGTAACAGCTACTCTTTTCCAGACATTGCTTGAAGTTACTTCAACTTAACATTCTGACTGATATTTTTCATAATTTATATTGGTACCTAACAGCTGTTTATGGTTTAAAACAACTAAGCCATTCATAATGTGTCTTTCCATTTCCAAAGAACTTTTCTCAACTTGATGCTTTTCAAATGATTTCCAGAATTTTTAGGTAACATGGGAATTTTGCGATTCGATGTCCAATTGTCTGGAAGGAGTCAGATTGTTTAACTAATATGTCAGAGTTAAGAGACTGCCTCTCAGCAATGTAATTCTTTCAGTATGTCTCTGTTTTCATTGTACAGCTGTATCCTTCTGTTCTTCTGGAAGTATCTGATATCTTTAGTTTGCTTACATTCTCACAGAACATTCAATTTCTGCATGGGACTGGGGGGGGGGAAGCCTTACAGTGTCCCAGGGAATGTTTCTTGCCTTGTATTCCTTTGCCATCATCTTGTAATGTTATATGGGCAGTGATTGGTCCAATCATGGAATTGTCAGCAATGTATTTATACTTTCTGTAAACTGTTTATACTGGAATAAATAAAATCACAGCCTTAAGTCAGTGTTTTCTAAACTTGAAGAAAGAAAAAGAAAGAAAGAAAGATGTATATTCACTTAAGTCATATAAGTGTTATTAGTAAGTGTCACCCTGACCAAAAATACAATATCATAACATTCTGTGAAGAAGCTGTTTTAGGAGAGTGGGAAGAACATTATAAGAAATTCTAAATGTTGCTTGTGGGAGATATATATATATAAATCGTGGGAGATATATATGAGTGAGTCATCTGAAAAATGGCCCAAAGGCACTAGCAGAGAAAGGTCAAGGATGGATGCTTGTGTGCCCAGGGCACATCAAGATAAAGGCAGATTTAGAATCTACAATATACTAGGAAGCCAGAATGGTTTAGAGAATTATATGTTGGAAGCAGAATTCAAGAGGCTGGATGTTGGAGGAAGGAATGTGGGAGAAAGATATCAGTAGGGACTCAAGAGAAGGAAGGAGGTAGAATGCCAATATAAAGGAAATGAGAAGTATGAAATAAAAGCAGAACTGAATTGAAGCAACTGGGATGGAAGGGTCATGGATATAAATAGGAGATAGAAAAGTAAAAAATACAGCTTTAGAAGAGATTATAAAATTAAGAGAATAAAGAGTTAATAGACCATCGATTAGCTTGAATCATCTAGGTAAAAGTAAACTGCTAGTCTCATAAATTAAGGTATGGTTTCACTGCAGGGATATTAAGCTAGAAATAAGTTAGCAGAGAAACTATAGAAATAAAAATACAAAATTATATAGTATAAAGAACAAATGTATGAAAAATAATAAAATAAAAACTATGGAATGAGCGATGGATTAAAGTGTAGCTGAAAAGATATAGCAAAAGGTCAAAGTTTACTTGACAGGTACTCGTCAATTTGTTGGAAACCCAGCCCTTCTATAACTGAGTTGTGGATGAACATCTGTGAACATATCACTACCAAGTTTACTCAGCACCAGACTGCTCTAACAGATATACTCACTCTTCTGTTCTTGATGTCTTAACAATACACAATTCTCATTATTGGGAAAGGGGAAGAACAGAAATCAGCCACCACCTATAAAAAGCTTTGCCTCCTATCTAATGAACCACTGTCCTTGTTTTGCCTACGTTTGTACCAACCCTGAACTATAATAATCTTAGTAATGCTCTCCATCATGATAAAGAGAGCCTAGTAACTTGCACAAACATTCCAGTTTCTTTTCTAATTCCACAAGTAGGCAGCCATTTTGTTCATTTGACCTGACCATCTTTTTACTGATGTAATGCAGTAGAAAAGCAAGTGATGTGTATTAACTGTTAATTTGTTAATGGGAAAGTGGAAACATAATCCCCAGTAGCATTTTGCGTTTAAGTACTTAATAAACATACTTTTTTTACATAAACTGTCTCCAATCCTGTAAGCAGTAGCATTTGTAAGACAAAACTATCAGCTTTTGTGATCAGTTTCCTTTAAACAGCTGAAAAATACTTTATAAAAACATAGATACCAATTTAGTGTTCTCCAGGTTTATTGGGACTACAACCTCCAAGATTACTAAAAATAAAAGCTTTCTTGATAAAATTCTAGGGAAACATATTTACCTCTCTTATCTGGATTTTCCAGATTTTTGCATGTCTTTGCTACTAAATACTATCAGCTTTATCTTGTTCCTACCAATATAAAAAGGGGATGTGAGTAAACGAAGTTTGGTACTTGTTTCATATATTCCATAAAGTCATGAATTGTGTGAAATGTCCATGTAACAGAATAATCATCTCTTTACATTCAGTATTTAGTTGCACCACCTTTAGCTGGAGTAACTGCAACCAGATTCTTCTTGTAATTGGTAATCTCTCTTATGCATGCTTAATTTTACCATTACTCCAATACTGAATCATAGAAAAATATTAGCATACATGACATTGCTCATAGAAAAAGTCAATGGAGGAGACAGTGATTTTAAACAAATTCCTGATACAGTTCATAGTAATGAACTGTAGCTGGGGAAGGAATTAGTACAAACCTCTCTGTACAGTAGAATTCACAGTTATGAAATTATGATGGAGATATGTGTGGGAATCATAAGAGTATGCCTTGATCCATCTACAATGGTTGAAAAGCTGAGCAGGACTTACAATGCCTATGCTAGGAATACCTGGAACCTGTCTGCATTTGAAAGATTGTAGCCTCTCAGTACTTCTAAATGCCAAATAGCACCTGAATCTGTATATACACCTTTCGGGCATGAGATTTAATTCAGGAGATCCTCTACTCCTCTTTTTTGTAGATAAAGTGGTTTGTTATTTTAAAACTGAAGGCAAAGCCAAGAAAACAGTATGCTGTTGTGTCTGACCTGAAAAGAAACTACAAATATTCTCTCTTCGAAAGCTCTGATAAGCAGCTGGAATTACCCCACAGAAACTGTTCTACTTCTTTTGGTACATCTGATATTTGTTCTATCTTTATATAAGTGCATTTTGTAACAGTCTAGAATTGTATATTAGGCATGACCTTGTATTCTCTTCTTTAACATCTTATAATAACCATAATTAGGATGGAGAAATTCTACTTCCCATAGCACCATCTTCTGATCTACTGGGAGCATTAGATTTTAATAGATTTTTTTTTAAAAAATAAAACAATTGTATCTAACTTCTGCAGCATCAAAAAGCCTTTGCATTTTAAAATTAAAAATATGTTATAGTTTGATTATTATTATTTTTTCTCTAGTAAGATTGATCTAGCTCACAAGGGGAGAATGGCTGAAACCTCTTATAACACTATGGCCTTCTTACAGCCTTCACGCTATATAAGGTGACCAACCGTCCTCCTTTAGGGAGGACAGTCCTCCTTTTGTGAGTTCTGTCCTCCCTCAAAAAGTGTCCTCCTCCATGTCCTCCTTTTCTATATTTGAAGACTAATCTGCAGGGCTTTTTTTTCTCATAGAACGCTCAGAACGGCGTTCCGGCACCTTTTTTTGATGGTTTTTTTTCAACTTTTGCATGAGCTGTGCTACTCCCGTTGGCTTTCAAAAGCCAATAGGAATTGCTGCTGAGCACGCCAAAACACCTGGCCGGCAAACTTTGCACATGTAAGTTGTCTGCAGCGAAGGCAAATTGGCAGGAACTTTGCACCCCTCCCTGCTACCCAACTACACCATCTCCTAGTTAGTCCCGAAGATACCTGGAGGAGACTGGAGCGGCGACGCCACAGTAACTTTCTCTTGATCTTCAGCCTTGCTAGGGCAATAATGGCTGCGGGTGCAAGAGGCAGGGGCGGTGGGGCTGCTGCGGGCAGGGGTGAGAGGGGCGGCGATGGCCGGCTGCCCCCGTGGTGTGGGAGCCGCGGGGCCTGCTCTACATGGGGCTGCGCAGGGTGGGCGGTGGTGCTGGCGGGACGGCTGCAGGCGGGATGTGTCGACGGCCTGCCCCCCGGGGCCAGAGCCGGCGCAGCTGGTGCTTTGGGAGCCGCGGAGCCCGCTCTACACGGCGGGGCAGCAGTGCTGGTGGGGCAACTGCGGGCGGGGGCGCAGCATGTAGGCATAATTACAATATAAAATGTTATTGTTACAAATGTTTTTATTATGCATTTATCATATAGTGTATTCTGTATTATTGTTGCAATGAATAAAATGTTTCTTTTATTTACGATATTTTTTTCTTCAATTTATTTGTGTCCTCCTTTTTATTGTAAAAAAGTTGGTCACTTTACACTATAAAACCAAGCCATTAGATGAGTGATTTCATTTTTACCTTTACATTGGCAGTAAAGCATTGCAGGTTATCAGCCTTCTCTCCCCCCCCCCCCCCCCCCCCCCCCCCCCCACTTTCTGGAATTAAGGGACGAGACGCTGCCTGGAGATAAATGGTGATAAAAGAAACCACCAAGCCACTATCGCGAGGAGGCAAAGTTGATTTTTCACAAAACATTTCTTGCCTTTGAACACATGCTGCAACAGCTATCCAGGCCTAAGATACAAGACCCTATAAGAACGTCAAATTAAATTGAGGGTATTCTTAGTCTA